CGAGCGGAAGACTGGGTTTAAGTCCCGAAATTGTGACTTTTCAAATCACTTTGCACAACAAGATACTGGATGGATGTATTCCCCGCTCGAGCGCCAACACCTCCGCTCGAGCGGACAGGCCAAAAATCTGGGCAACTAGTTTTGGTTTCTAAACTCAACCAACCTGAAACCAACCCGCCCAACACATCCTATAACTCAAATACAAAGTAAGAAAGGATGTAAACAAGATAATAAACAACTACCAACATCCACGGACACATGTCCGGATCACTGTACAACAAGGGTAAACCCGGGATCGCTATATTGAGAAAGTTCTTGAGAGGTTCAACATGGAGAAAGCAAAGCCGATTGGTTGTCCACTTGCGAGCCACTTCAAGCTTAGTTCGAATCAATGTCCTACAAGTGAGAAAGACAAGGAAGAGATGTTGAAATTTCCTTATGCTTCAGTAGTTGGTTCTTTGATGTACGCCATGGTTGGTACAAGGCCGAATATTGCTCACGTCGTTGGTGTGGTGAGTCATTTTCTCTCTAATCAGGGTAAAGAACATTGGGCAGCGGTAAAATGAATTCTAAGGTATCTTCGAGGGACTTCGAAGGTGTGTTTGTGTTTTGGAGATGGTAAGCCGATGCTTGATGGGTTCATGGATTCTGACATGGCCGGTGATGTTGATTCTAGGAAATCTACTTCGAGGCATTTGATGACTTTTGCAGGGGGAACTGTGGCATGGTAATCTCAATTACAAAAATGTGTTGCTCTCTCAACTACCGAAGCTGAATTTATTGCTATTACGGAAGCTTGCAAAGAAGAGTTATGATTGAAGAAATTTTTGCAAGAGTTGGGTTTGAAGCAAGAAAAGTATGTGCTTTATTGTGATAGTTAAAGTGCTATTCACTTGAGTAAAAATTCTACTTTTCATTCGAGATCGAAACATATTGATGTGAGATATCATTGGATTCATGATGTGTTAGATTCGAAATTGTTGTAACTCGAAAAGGTTCACACAGATGATAATATTTCGGATATGTTGACAAAGACTTTGTCAAGGGAGAAACATTTGAAGTGTCGAACTTTGGCGGGTATGGTTGATATCTCCACCTCAGTCGGTAGGGGGAGAATTGTTGGGTATACCTCCTTATTGGAGTGTGGGACCCAATTGGTTTATTAAAAGAGTTTAATTTGATTTGGTATTAGTTATAATATATTTTTATATATTATATCTAATTTTGTGGAGACCCAATTTAGTTTGGAAACAACTAAGATTTTGATAATAAACCCTAGATTCACAATACATTGTTTTCTTCTTCGAAGAGAGTGGCTGCTGATTAATTCCTCTCTGTGAGATAATGTGCTGCAACAAATTGTATTGATTGAAAAATCAATTCGGTGGGTTACAAAAAGCTGATCAACTTTGGTGGGCTAATTGTCATTGTGGACAATCATATTACTGGTTTGATTTAGTGGGTGGATTTTGGCAATCTTTGTGTGGATTGATTTGGTTATTATTTTGGATCTTCTTCAACTCTGGATCTGGAGATTTTGGTTCATTTATTTGGTGAGGTCTTTCCTCTTTGTTTATTCATGATTATTTGGAATTCACCTAAGGGTGGTTTGTAAGACTATTAGTGTCTCGTTTGTAATTGTTTGGAAACTCTTTGGTTGATAGTAGAATCGGATTTCGATCCCGTGAACGTACCTCACATTGAGGGAACCACGTAAAAATTCTTGTGTTGCTTTTGATTTAATTTTTCTGCATTAGTTTTTATTTCCATTGATTGATTTACTTGTGGAAAATCACATATTTTCCCTAACACTGCACATCCCAAACAAATTCCAAACTTTCTCAGAATCCAAGCAAAGCAATTTGAACAAACACATATATACATGTATGTAAAACAAATAAAGAATGAGGGAGAGAGACCTTGACTGAGAAATCATGAATGGATTTTTGAGGGACTGATTCAGAAGCACCCATCTAGATTGTAACTAGAGAGATTTGTTTACATGTAAAGATTTCTATTTCTTGAAGGTTTGGCTAAGACAACAGCCAGCACAGAGCACCAACATATATGTGTGTGTGTGTGAACAACATGGAGAGAGTAGCCTTGAAAAAGTTTCCTTCACATTATTTTCCCAAGAGATTTTCACAAAGAACTTATAGCTGAGACAGCTTTCACATGAGGATTTTCTTTCATGAAGGTCTTTCTGAACTCCTCGCTGTAACATTATGAGACTCAAATCAAAGGCTATCTTTCTTTGATATCAAGCAAACCCCAGAAATAATTTCTAATGGGTACAGCAACAAGATCAATACATACAGAAATACAAACAAGGCACTGGGAGGCCTCTTAGGCTTGTTGGGGTCTTTCTTAGCCAACTTTCCCTTCTTGGCTTGACTTTTGCCACCCTTATTTGCCTTAGTGGCAGCCTTTCTCTTCCCGACCTTTCTGAAAAGAAGAGATATATATGATCTGTCATTATAATATCCCTATTACCCCTATATCCACCATTAAATATAATGATTAGATGCATATAGAACTCATTTGACTCGACCTTGAAACTTCTAGTAAGATCATAACATTAGACAGAGTCATTCACATTAATGTAAACACCAAAAACAAAACAAACAACAACAAAAAAAAAAAAAAAAAAAAAAAAAAACCCACAAAGATGCAACTACAACCACCAAAATGTTACACAAACTTAGCAAACCTGTCATCAACTGGCTTCAATGCCTCCTTTGGGACCCTGATTGCTGCCCCCTTACCCTTGGCGGCCTTCATTGTTACAATTGAATGCCTTAAAAAGTAAAACAACCTTAGATTAGAACCCAAAATCTACACAGTAATTTGTTTTAAGACCAATTTAGATCCTAAAAAAGCTAAACAAGACAAATATTCATGATAAAGCCATACAGGTCAACGCAACACACACACACACAAACATAGAGAATCCAAGGACATAATTGAGAGATATGGTGGCAAGATGACAGATACATGACCAGCTTGTACGAGAGTTTATTGTGGGACAAACCACAATACACATTGGGTAAGGCTTGTGATTAGACAACTGATCAGAAGTCATTATGGACCAAATCATCACAGGGATAAGTGATGTGCCTTGGAACCAAATATTCAAGAACCTTCTGGAAATGGTATAGAAAATCTATGATTCTAAATGGGAGTACATAATGATACAAATAAATAAACAAACAAACATAAAGGAACAAATCAAGCAGACATAGTGAATAAATTCAAGGCAGACATAGTGAGAAAATAGCATAAATCTTCAGTTTGACAACATGTTTTCTTACCACATTTTGAAAAAATCAAATTCATATTCATTTAGAGAATAATAAGACAAGAGTTACTTTCTGATATACATAACGAAATTTCTTATGGGTCACAGATACTAAATACTTATTTCGGCATACCCTGATGAAATCAAATTGGTCCAACTTTTTTAGAAAACTTGCCATTTCAAATTTTGCTTCATTGTTAAAGTCAAAAAAATTTGTAGAAAGATACAGGAAGGAGAAAGAATAATTACCTCTGAAATTATTTCATTAGCTTTTCTAAGAGAATTAGTAACACCATATGCAACAATAACTCCAATACTTGACCTTGCTTTTGTTGGTTTTACCTACAATTGAATAAAAACACTACATGTTAATCAGGCTTTAACAATCATCCCAGTATTAGTGTTGCCAAACTTCTATAGATCAGTGAATTCCACAATTCCAAACAGAATCAAACAATCACACACGAATTCACAAAAATAAAATCCATATCCACATCGATGACAGATCAAACACAATATAAACATAGATGAAATCACTGAGACCGATTACTGAAAGCACAATCTAGATCTCATAGTGCATAGTAACACATCAGTGAAAAATAATTACTGAAACAGAGATGAAATCACTAAGACCAATTTTTCAAAACATTGATGCAACATTTTTGAAAACACTGATCCAAAATAGAGATAAATCACAAACAGAAAAACAAACCTCTGATTAAAGAAGATGAAGAGTAGAGAGAGAACCAAGGGATGCAAGGAAACAAAAGTGAGGTTAATCTACCCTATAAAGGAGGAGGTACTGAGCTCAGGACAAGGAATGCAAGCACAAAAAACAGAAGTGAGATTAATCTGATGACTTCACATTCATGCAGATCTTGAGCTGGCCAGGTCCTCCAGATCTTGGTGACAAGCCTTCATATAATATTTGTTTGCAATAATTTATATATGCTTATGCTGAATTATACCAAAACTTGTCCTTAATTCATCACTAAGATATGTTTTTTCAATGCTCATTTTCTTCAATTTTGGCCCAAATCCAGCAGATAAAGCAAATTGTCGCAATATCTCAGGCCAGGTCAATGGATTTAAGTGGTGCTGCCAGTTGCGTATATCAAAGCCCCAAGCATACGCCTGAAAGTAAAACAAAGGAATAAAAAGTATTTCAGAATGAATAAGCACAAAATCAAGCCACAATTGACAACAAGATAGAAGCAGCAACAAAAACCAACCACAGAACAAAGCTTACCCCTTCAACAATCTGTGGATGGATCTTAGAAGAGCTACATGAATCTCCCCTAACAACATTGGATCCTGAAAATAGTAGGGAGCAGCTAAAACAATAAGATGAGAGTAAGGATAAAGCAAATAGTCTAAAGGCAAAATTAAATACAAGGATCTCAAGAACTTACATAATCATGAAAAGCTTGAATAAATTCATCCAGCATAAATGGCCAAAGCCCCAGAACGTCAGCAAAATTTATTAAAAATCTCCAGACCTAAAAATCAATTCGCAGGTAATAACATTAGAATGATCACAATACCTCCATAAGCATCACCATTAGATCTAGTCCATATGTTGCTTGAAAAATTGTAGTTCAATCAACATTTAGATAATCAAACACCAAAAAATCACCATGAACTTTCTTTATTACCCATACTTCTTTCCATTACATGGTAACTAATATATACTCAAAAAAACATAATCATCATACAACAAATAAAAGCATCAGATTGCCATACCAAATTATGAACGTCAGACTGCCATTATAATCAAATTGCCTTACCAAATTAAAGTTTTCATAGCTATGCTTGACTGAAGGCAAAACTTGAGGTTCAAGTAAAATGATAGATTCCAAAAAAATTATGTGATGACATGTTGGAGAAGCATAAAGACCACAACAACACTAAA